AAGTAGCCTGCCCTGTAAGTTATTGTCCTCAAGGGTGTCGAGACTCTAATAAATAGAGTCAAGTTCCGTGCGTAATAATAAGTATCGACAAAAGTAAGATCTAACGTGCGAGTCTCACGGTGCGCGTGGACGCACAGGGTGACACACGAACCAATCACAGAGCTCTATTCTGTGTGTTCGATTTGCTGCTTCACTTGAGCAAGCATTGTTTGTGAATACGGGCGTAAGTCTGCCGCCATAACAACAATGTTAACAGCATTGTTGTGTTCCGGCAGTTAGAGTAAGATAGCCAAGTATCTCTGTGGTTGAGGATTCCGGTCCGGGTGAAGCTCGCTTCCACCTTCGGCCTGATCATCACTTTTCATCAGGTAATGTGCAGGCCTATACCACCCCCAGATGATGGCTGGCAGGGGCTAAAAAAAGCAAGAGATCAATACCTTTCAATACCTTTGACTTTAGATTATGACTTACTACGTCCAACGGTGGTATGCAATCAACTGAAATAATGAAAGTGTCTAAGAATTAGGCCTGAAAAATTTTACATATTTTATTTCTCATTGTAGTAAGATAATTTATTTAAACTGTTTTTTCTTTTGTTTTAGATTTTGGATTCTGCCGCTCTACCAGTCACCTGAGATGCAATCTTCTTACGACAGGTAGGTACTGCTGTAAGTACCAGCTTCATAATTTGGTAAGTGATTTTTAATCATTTTTTTACATAAACTCCAGCCCAGTTACAAAAAAATGTATTAATCATTTCTATCGTCTCTACATTCTGACTTAAAACAACGATGACTACAAAACCAAGCCTGATTTAAAATGTTAAATTATATGACTTAAGCATAAAAAATATATGTTCCAAAGAAATCTTTATTAAACCATACTATGGGAACCCTAAACCGGTCGGCAAAGCACGGCATGACTCAATACGCCAAGACAATCGGATCTGGCCAAGACCGGTAGCTGTCCTTCATTCGCGTTCATAAACAAATAGCCAAGCTGTAGATGAAAGTGGATATAAACGTTTGAAGGAATTTGGAATTTGCGAATAAATTCGATTTCAAAGTAGTTTAATATTGAAGTTTATTGAATGCTAATTGATTTTTAAAGACCGCTAATAAGTCATTTTTATTATGTATTCATCTAGAAAATTATTGTGCCTTGAAGTCATTGGTAAATGCGTCAAAAACCTACCAATAAAAATAAATAAATAAAATATCCTTGGACATTTTACACTGCGCTTCTAGTCCAAACTAAGCAAAGCTTTTACTATGGGTACTAGACAACGGATATAAACATACTTTTTTTTTTAAATACATATTATACATTAGAAAACACCCAGTCCATCCAATACAAACAAATATGTTCATGCACACAAATGTTTGTACTGTGCGAGAATCGAACCCGCTACCTCCGGAATAGTAGTCCGTTTCGAACCACTACACCAAACGGCCGACTAAAAATGCAAGTAGAGTGAATTGTTTCTTTTAAGACCTACACCTTTTATGATCAAGAAGTCCCGTGGATCTTCTTGCATATGTAGCTTAAGTTTTGAAAGCTCTCTATCGAAATTAAATTAATAATGATAAGCTAAAATTTAAAAATTTTAATAATCCTCACTAAAATGCTTGTAGGTAATAATTCGCATTATAAATTATCTGAATCGCTAATCTATGTTTATGAATAACCATCATAAAATCATCCATAAAATATCTTAATGTGTTTAATACCTACTTACTAAATATTTTATTATTATACCAATGGTAGAGTCGGTAAATTAGAAAAATAACCAAATGTCAGAATGCATGATATTAAAAATACAGACGACTACATTTTATGGCAGTACTTATGGGGTTTATGTGGTCTAGAGAAAATATAAACCCACAGTAAGCAGGTGCAAGAGCTTAAAAAAGCTCGTTGCCGTATTTCACCACGTGACGAATCGAACTATTACTGTCTCCGCTAACGACGGTGTTTTCTTCACTACACTCATTAAGTCAGCTCTGTCGCAATTTTTCTTCGGATCCAGCCACTAATCCACTCGCCGCAGGCCCGGCCCGCGCCCCCTGCTGGCACAACGACGAAACGACCAAATAAAATGCTAATTCAACACAAATCCGTTTTTATTAAATTGTAAATAGACACGAAACATTTTTTCCTGCCAAAGCCGGTCCTGTAATTGAAACCTCTGTCGCATTAATAAACGATTTCATTAATAAAACACGCAACAGCCCAGTACCAATTAATTTTAGTGTGGTTCGAACATGAGGCAGCGCTAGCGTCGCGCGGCGAAACGCGGAACTACCACGATTTCAAAAACCACCCCTTTCACTCAGTGCTGCCACGGCGACAGGGAAAGTTTTCTCGCACACCCCACGACGCTAAAAGTTACGCTACTCCCCGCCAGATGGCGCTGTACCAACGCATCCCGAAGCATTCGCTCCCCACTTTGCATGTGTGAGTGTGAGAGAGAGACCGCACGACAAAAATAAAAAAGGAGTAAAATAGACAGCAATATGTGTGTATACCAAGGCGTGGTTACGTGCATGCAAGCGATTTTTTTATCGCAAAAATGGCCGGAACTTTACACGTCCCGCGTTAGAACGTAAAGTCGCAACTGCGATAGGCGCGTCGAGTGTGACTTTTAACGCGCGCTAATAAGGTTGAAAATTGAAATGTGTTTTGTATAAGTTGCGTTTCGACGTCGATGTATGGCGAAATAATTGGCGTCACTGGCGTCGCGGCGTCATTAGAAAGAGAGGGTGAAACTATTTCGCTTCTATGTCGGAACGAGCTTCGCCAACGACCGTTAGACGGAGGGGGATGGCGCATTGGCGTTCGCGCCCGTTAGAACGGGACGTGTGTAAAAAATGCCCGAAAAAAGCAGTTTTTCAAAAGGTGCGATAGAAATTACAGAAACATGGGCGCGGTTTAAAAAATGTCTGGAGCGCATGCGCCCTGTTCGGAAAGCCGGCTCGGAAGTAAAGGGGGAAAGAGAGGTTGTTGGTAGTTTATTGTGTCGAGGTGCAGTGCAGGCCGCGGCGCGTCGCGATCGGCCGCCCGACAAAAACAATAACTGCTAATTATTTCGACTAATAACCTCGTCTGAGGGCTGAAGCGAAAAATTTTCGAGATGTGTGTGTTCGAGTATTCGGGATGGAAAATCGAGAAGTTCGCTATCATCTGTGGTGCGGTGTTTGTTCGATACGCTGCAGTGGCGATGACTCCGCGGTTTCCCGCTAAATTTCATTTGGTCCGAATCGTGGTGTGTTCCAAAATTGTGATGCGAAATGCAAGAAACAGTGTGCGATGAAGTCGAAAATGTAAAAAAATACAAAAAGAAGAAATGGAATAGTTAATAGGTATGTAACATCATCTGAAAAAATATTAGGAGCCAAGTTGACACAAGTGTAGAGACAGCAAGAATTTGATCAATAATAAAAAAATAGAAGTTTTTCATCCTGCAAAAAGCGAAAACTATGTAACTCTACCACTGTAAGTTCTCTCACTAGTAAAATTGTTAAAACTCTACTTTGCAATAACAGTGGTGGAAGTAAAACAAATTTTCTGCACTAGCAATAAATTGATTTGGAGTCAAAATGTAGAGCCAATGAAAAAATAATACACCGTCAAATCGTGTTACATACTACATATTACGTAAATCATAGAAGAAAGTCATTATCAGTTGTCTTTGGAATAAAAATAAAATATTTATCACGAATGTCAGTTTGTACGTGTATCTCTACGATAAAATTGATAGCAGCGACAGGTGAGAGATAGTCGTTATCATTTTAAGAACACGGGCAAGGTTAAAATTTGTAGAGTTACATAAAATTGTCGCATTGTTGAAATTTTCAAGGACAAAGTCCTACAAATACAACTTATGGTAAAACATGGTTGTGACGTTGTGACTTACTATTTGTCTGTTCTGGAAAGACGTCATTGAGGTTATTAAAACTACGTCAGAAATGATCTAAAATACTCTGAAATTCAAACTTTAGCTCCTAATATCTGTATCCGAATGCGAACTAAATTCAGTATGTCGTCACCACGAAAAGTGTTTTTCAATTAACTTGTGCTATATTGTCATTGAAATGAACTCTGTTAAAGAATAAAATATTGTCGAAATTAACATGTAGAGCTCGGAAAAATATAAAAAAGATACTACGTAGAGTCAAAGTAGGAATTATTTAAAAATATGAACATGATGACGAATTTGTTTTTAAACTGTCATTGACGCTACTGCTGTCATTGGAATTAATAAACTTCCAACTGGCTAAAAAGGTAGAGAAACAACAAGTCGCAAAACCAGTTTTAATCCCAATAAAATTTATCACATTTTAAATGTTTGTCTTGCAAAACAAAATGTTCAACTGGAGGATATTGAAGTAGAATCGAAGGATCGTCCAATGGCATGTCATCACGTGCAGAGTTAAGGTAAAAAGCAATATTAACTCGATAATTTCCTGTTCGCCTAACATGGCGTGTGTTAGTTATATATCATTTGAGATATTAATATTTATAAATCAAAGGCACGAGTGCGGAGTGGCAAACAAGCTGGCACTTCTAGATAAAGAGACTCTACATTGTCGCATTTTTCTCTTATTAATTGACTATTGTGTGCCATTCAAATTGCTGGCTCAATAATCAATTTGTGACCACACTGTTGTAAAAACACGTTGTTAGTAAAAAGTTTCCAGTGATACTTTCTAAGAATAGAGCTATAGATATAGAAATTATGACTGTAGAGATAAAATTGTGAGAGTTCACTTTATGTTTTCTGAAAATTGGGTTAACTGTAAGATTTTTCTTCGACAATTAACCCTGAAATTCAATTATTTGCAGAGCTTTGTTTCAATGGTGCGTCATTTAATTCTGTATCTTCACCTCCCATAAATTGTATTGTAACACGTATATGGTCTCACCATAGAGATTTCCAATCATTCTCATTTCTGAATTCACAATAATAATATCTCTATATTATGCAACGTTAAGAATTTTTTGTAAATACCTAACTGATAAAAGATACCATTTTAGAGGTCTCAGAGAGCGATTAACTTGATGACGAATTGGTAGTCTTGACTCTACAATTATACCTTTTCCAATGTAAAGTTCTCCACAAATTGAGCATATAAATCAAAACGTTAACGTTTATTACCAACTGTTGAACCCACTCAAAACACGAGCGAGTTTAAAGAACTCGTCTGATCAACTTTCCAAAAACTCTCATCTACAACTAATTAAGTAAACGTATAAACGTGAGTCCCATCGCGGTTAAATAAATCAAAAATCTACAAATTGGCTGAAACAACACCTGTGCCAGTCGAATACTGGCCATCAAGCTTTTAAAACGACATCTAAAATTGCAGGCTTGACAGAAACGCGACAGATAAAAACTGGTCAGAAAAGTATTTAAGTTTTAAAATTTGAATTTCGAATCGAGCGCGAAGTGGGTGTGGGTACGCACATTACCAACTGTGCAAACGATCTGTACGTAGCGGGCGCACGGTCGTACGCCGCGTCATCGCTACACGAAAAAGGTCTTTACACTCCACACCTCAAAAACAAACTTGGAGGCCGCTCGCCCGCTCCGAGTCAACATTCGCGTGCCTCTAACTCGTCTCTTACTACATTTTCGTCCTCATTAAATCGTTAATTCAATACGACTTCGCTAATAATCGCTGTAGATGCTAAGCAAATTTCGGTAAAATTTATTTGCCGTTGACTCATTGTGGGTTTAGCATATTCTTGCTTATGAAATCCTCAAAAAGAGGCGTCGCCCGACTCTAAAATTCCAAATTAGAAACTCGCTTGAGCAAAGACACGTTCCGCCGAGAGGCCGTTTATGTTAACGACTTCCCAAGTTATCTGTCACAGGCCAGCAGCTTGTTTGTCAGATGTTAATTAAACATTTACAGAACGTTCACATCGATTCAGGTGGAGATGGCCACGTCAAGTAGATTAACAGTTACGTCCGATGGTCCGTGACGTTGAATATGGTTTAATTAATAATTTTGATTAACAGTAATGGGCCGAGTGTACGCCACATGTTGCGTTCTGAAGTAGCCCATTAGGCCAGAGCTGAACAGTGGCTCTTTGAGTCGAAGGCGCTACATCTCATGTACGCGCACTTACAATGTCTGACACTACGGCATTATTGCATCAAAAGAATACACATGCGTTACGCGGGCGAGGTGTAGGGCTGCGTCTCTTTCTATTTCGCAGCATAGTGTTGCGGTCTCGTTCTCCACGCACGACGTCGGTCGCGGTCGGCTCGTCACATCCCTCGGTTCGTATACCTAGCGCATAGGAGCTAGATTGGCGCGCCGCGTATTCAAAATAGGAACGTTAGTAATGGATGGGAGCTGTGCGGTGGGGTGGATGTGTGCGTGCGAGAGAGCCAGCGACCCTCCCCCGCCCGCCCCCGCGACGCCGCGGCAGCCGCGCGCGTTCACACAACCCGTTGGCCCGGACGGCGCGTCGCCCGCGTCGCGTGCGGGCCTTGTCGCGGCTGACATCGACGCGCGAACACGTATCGCTCATTGTTTTTTTATCATCTTGAAACACTTCGCGCTCTCAACCGTACGAGACTTCTTATAAGACTACGTCTACACATTTTTTTTTCGAAGTTCTTTTTCGAAGTTTTGAGATAGTGCAACATGGATAGTGAACTTCGAATTTAGAATGAAGATTTTTTTTTTTTCGAAATGAAATCACTTGTAACTTATACGAAAGCAAGGGAGCAAAGCGAATGCTAGTGGCGTAAGGTTGTACGATTATTTTTGTCGATAGTCAACTGGCTCTACATTTCTGAATGATCAACTCAAACATTTAAAATAAAAACAAAAAAATAATTAATCAAATGGAAGTGAAATATTCCAACTTCGAAATAAGTGAAGGAAGTGCCATCTAGTGTCGGGAAATGAAAAAAAATACAGAGGCGCTGAAAATAGTGTCAAGGAAAATTGAAAATAAAAAGAAAAGAGAATATGAGAAATGTTCATCATGAAGTTTTACTACTGAACTGTGAGGTGAGTACAATAAATAATTTATGGAACATTTTAACAAGGAGACGAGAAAAAATACATACGATACTGATGTAGAGCCGTCGGAATATTATTGATAACATTAACCATTTTGTTTTCATTTGTTTTTTCGGTATCAAAAAAGCCTAAGGATCCCTCTTATTAGATGCTTATAATAGTCACATCAATTACCAACAAAAAATGGCGCAAAAAAGCTATCACTTTAATCGTTGCGGCACGCAGGTTGTTTTTGTAAATAGATTTTTGGGTTGAAACGCGGCAAAAAACGTGAGTTTTTGTGGACAAAAATGTCATCGGTCGAAAAAAATGTGGCAAAAAAATTCAGAGTGAGTTGTAGGTTGAAGGGAATGATAGCTTTAAATACTTTTATAAACTCGATAAACATTTTAATATTATAAAGGGAAATGCTTCAGAAAGAAAAAATAAAGCAATAATAGCACCGTGAAATTCTTCAACTCAACATTAGTTTCAATTTAGAGATTAAAAAATACTCGTTCGTACCTACGACCCGGTTAGCAACAGCAACTTTGTGATAAAACAGTCACATGTTTTTATCTTGTTGCCATTTAACACACGGCCCTTATCACACTGAACAAACAGTCAAGGAATTTTAAATTTATTTAATTGTTTTTTCAAACATCGTAACTCACTTTTCACTGGTAGGAAAAGTTAAACCACAATTAAAAACAAAAAGAAAAAAAAAATTAAAAAGAAGCGTGTTTAAAGTTTAAAAGATTCCAAATTTAAAATTCGGAACTCTGTATCTTGCTTTATGTAACCGCTGTGCCCTCAGCTATCAGTTTCACCTTTAACTTATCACGTTGTTTTCGCTAAAAGGTGATTTTCGTACACCATTTCTGTATACTGTAGTCTTTATGTGGTTGATAATAAATGCTTATTTTACCTACCACACGTCAGCAGACACAACAACAGTGTTTTGTTAGTTGTAAGTGAGCACTATCGTGCCTTATCTCGGTTGCTATGGAATAGATGTACAGACACCCAGAAAAAAACGTGAAATAAGTAAACATATTTAACAAGCGAATATAGAAATTTCCTTTCGTACTGTAATGGCTTTGGATCGGTACTAATAAATATTGGCTTGAACTTACATTATATTCAAAATGCTGAACTTCAAAAATTTAGAGTTCCTTAACATTTGTGGATTTCTAACAAAATGGCACCAAATTTACTACAGTTACCACATGTAACCATGTACCAAAGTATCTACTAATAGTAAGTACGTATTACTATATAAATAAATAAGAATGTAGAGTCCTATAATTTTAAAACATTAACTTGCGTCTTTAAAACATTTTTTCGTTATTTTAGAGTAGGTACAAAACTAATACATAATTAATCAGGTACTAACTGAAATTTTACAAATATTTAATTCCACTCCATGTAAAAGTTTGTTCTAATAAATACGTAGTAATTATTTCCTCAATAAATCCTCTCTCAGCGCAAATAAAATACGGGCCTACCTACATATTTTCCAAATTATAAGTGGTTTGAGAATTTATTACTGTTGACAGACCGATGAAATCCACTACTTATCTGAGAATAATCTTTATTGGCTTTGAAACATCACCGATCATTAAATTAGTTCAGAAAAAAATATTAATGCTTTCAATTAAAAAAGTCTTAACGGCATCAACACATTCTCGATATAACTGGACGTCGAGAAAGACGTAAACACCTGATTGATCGAGTACTCGAAACTCGAAATTGGAATCGAATTACATTCCGTTAAAATTAAAGTCGTTCTTTTTTAAAAAAACAACATCGCGTTTGTACCCGCCAGTACTCAAGAGATATGAAATCGAACGCCCACATGCACACTTTTATCTTGAAATAATTTGGGTGTGTTACACGAAAAATAGTTTGTTATAAGAGTTTAAACGCGGAATTATTAATTTAATTTGGCCCTGGGGAACTTTTTATTTTTATACGGCCTTAAGCTTATCGTGACTTGACGTTTGTACTTATCTTCATGTTCTTTGACCAACCACAGAATTTGTGGTTCTTTTGTTTTCGTTGGAGCGATGATTAAATTATTAAATGTCGTCGCTGAATCATCGTGCAACAAAAGCTTTGCATTGACTTCACAAATGTCATTGTAATAAACCATTCCTCTTTTGGGAGGTGTGCATCGAACCAAGTTTTTGTCGGTCTCAGCTAATTAGACAATCAATCTTAGGCCCGACGTAATTTGGAGCCAGAATAGGACTCTACTTTAATATACTCGAAAATATGAAGATATAAATCAGAAGGTTGTTCAATGTTATTAATTTCAGTGCGCCTTAGGCGACAGGCAGGATCGTTAGTCTCAGAGTGCGGCCCAGGTTCGATTCCCGGTCACTAATTATTATTTATGGCCACCTCTTATCTCTAGCCCGCGGCTGTAGGAAGTATTACAAAATATCGGACTCGCCCGTATTGAGGTTTGAAGCGAGATGTTAATTGCCCGGGCTTCAAAGAGTAATTACTATAAATTGAAAACAAAAAACGGAACAAAAAAAGTTACGAGAATATTGTGCGTCGATTCATTCTTGTTCGAACGAGTTCTTTCATTTGTTATTTAGGAGGCATTCCGTTACTCGAATAACTTTTTATATAATTAGATACTACGTCCCCAATTTACTTACAATTTAATTTAATAAACCACTAATTTAGACACATGTGTACAACAATGAAAAAGCAATTAACACGTTAATCGCAAAATGGCATTTAATTTCTTTGTTTGAAATTCTAACCTAAGACCTTTTGATGCATTTAAGAATTGGATCCAGTAATTAACGCCTGTAAAGTTTTCATCACGGTGTCAGATGCAAAAATAAACTCGATGCAACAGCCAACTACAATGTAACATTTATAAATGAACCGTACGTATAAATCTAAGAAACAATATTCGACTTCACAGTATTAGTAACGGTCATTAATTCCACTAATACCTATATGGATGTTTTTTGTTTAACAAAATCAGGTTTTGCTTATTGTCGAATAACTGTTCCTGTCAGTTCTGTTTTTACTTCAGCATTGCTGCCAAATCGAGAAGACCACTTAAGTGTGTCAGTCTTGTTTACGCCAGTTTCGCCTGACCCGGCGTCGTTAACTTTAAATTTCTCTCAAAATAATTATCTGTACAATTAAACATACAGAAAAAAAAATTCACATTCGAACCTGCTTTTACTCCGTTTGTGGGATGTCACGATCTGTCACTTCATAAATCTCAGGCTATTCACAACTCAACGCGATAATTTACCCTTTTGAAAAGTTCATTAACCCTAAGTAATTTGGATTGACGCCATTTTTTACGTGTAATTACAACATGTAAAGTCGTAACATTAATTTTTACTTTTATAGCTACACTACAATATAAATGAAAGTTAGACATAGACGCTTCAACACGGAAACCAACTTTAACCAATTTTACTGGTAACATTTATATTTTCCGGAAGACTTTCAAAATAGTGTTAATTATTGTGCTGTTCTGTTAATTACATCGTCCATATTTTTCGCTAATGCTTCCTAATGCTGCTTAATTGAGTTAACACTTTTAGTGTTTTCTTTGTCTAACATACGTAAATGCTGCTTCTTATAATGTGCTTCTAAAGCGTTGGTATGAATTAAAATGTCGTCCAAATATAGCATTTACATTTCTATAGACCTATAGGTTATAGTATCGATCGCTAAAATGTGTGTACGGGCGCTCCACGTGGCCTGACGACCGAGCGACACAATCTCTAGCCTTGGGAATTATTTTAGAACGGGCTCGGAATATCTTGTTATAATGTATTCTTAAAATGCAAACTGCAGTGATGCAGACTTTGATACTTGCGCTGATCAAAATAAAAAACCAATCGATTGGACATCGATATGTTTTGCACAAGATAAAAATAGTACAAAAAGAGTTTTATGTGCGATATTTTAAACGTTTACATAGTATCTCCTTATACAGTGTGTCCGGGCATGTAGTGATCAAACTTTAAAGGCGTAATCTATGAACAATTTTATCGATGAAAATACTTCAAATTTGGGGCTTGACCCATTTCTCGAAAAATTACATCGATTTAAGTTTTTAATTTTTAGTTTACACCTCTTCTTTAAAAAACAAGTGAAAGCGTGGGTAGCTTAACATTAATAGGCAAATATTTTATATCATACGATAGCCAATAAAATTATCTATTAGTAGAAGAAGAAAACAGAAACAAATTTCATACATTTTATGGGAGTAAGAATGGATTGAATTAGAAAAATACATTACTTTTTTCACTTCTTTTTCAGCTATTTTCCAACACAAGAAAAACCAGGTCGTTAAGGTATGTTTTATTTGCATTGTATTATGAGTATTTGAGTTATTCTACAAAACGAATGTAAATTTATTAGTCTACGTCTATTAGTTTCGACGTAATTGTTGAACAAAGATACCCCTTCCCAGCGGTTTCCATAGCGCACGCGACATGCGAAAATGCACAACAATCACACAACCTATTCCGATTACTATGGAAACCGTTGGGAAGGGGTATCTTTGTTCAACAATTACGTCGAAACTAATAGACGTAGACTAATTAATTTACATTCGTTTTGTAGAATAGCTCAAATACTAAAAATAAAATGCAAATAAAACATACCTTAACGACCTGGTTTTTCTTGTGTTGGAAAATAACTGAAAAAGAAGTGAAAAAAGTAATGTACATATTTTTCTAATTTAATCCATTCTTACTCCCATAAAATGAATGAAACTTGTATTTGCTTTCTTCTTCTACTAATAGATAATTTTATTGGCTATCGCATGATATAAAATATTTGCCTATTAATGTTAAGCTACCCACGCTTTCACTTGTTTTTTAAAGAAGAGGTGTAAACTAAAAATTAAAAACTTAAATCGATGTAATTTTTCGAGAAATGGGTCAGGCCCCAAATTTGAAGTATTTTTATCGATAAAATTGTCCCTAGATTTTGCCCTTAAAGTTTGATCACTA